CCCTAATCTTTTGGCAGGCTTTGGATGAGGATCCTAATGAATACCTAGATAATGAGGATTGAGTTAGGACTTAGCGTTATATTAGCTAAAAATGACGCAAAGTTATGTAAATAGTATTGACTGAAAGGCTTAGAAGCCTTAACTTTTGTGATGTTTTGTGTATGATATGATATGTATGAAATGAGACATGCATAATAGAAGAACATATAGTTCGCCGATTCGAGTTTTTAATTTGAGTTGAGATGTGACTTTATGTGAGAACTTTTTACTGCAGTAAAAAAATTAGATGTGACTATTTTTGAGAACTTTTTATTATAGTAAAACTCGAATCGGTGAAATGAATAGGGCCAAGATGTTCTCTTGTTTTATAATTTATTGACAAAAATTACTAGGGAAATAATGTGACAGTGGCACGGCATGGTATGGTGAAAATTCCCATTAAAAGACATAAACGACCATACTCACTATATGATACTGAGATTAATTTTATAAATGTCCTTCAAAGTATATACCTTATCTCAAAATGCCCCATAATTTTTTAAAATATTTCAAAACACTTTCCGATTTGTAACAAACAGATCAAAATACTCTTTCCGTCTATTATTGCCTATTATTTTAAAGGAATTGATGACGTGACACTCATTTTAAAATATTAAAACTTAATTAAGCTGAAAAATGGATTATAATTATCACAAAATTAATTAAAAAACCAGAAATTTAGAGCTTTTTTTAAACAAAAAAAAAAAATTAACATGTGAAATTATTTTTGAAAATCCACATAGCTTCTGAGCACTAAACCATCTTCCACTCCTTCCTCTGCGATAGCCGTCGTCCCGACTACGACCATGCGAAATCCTGAACGCTTACGCCTCTGTACCAGAGATCTTGGCCTTTTTGAGAGGCGCAATTAGTGGGCCTTCTTTATAGATCTGGATCTTCTTTGAATGTTTGAGTGAGATATCTTTTTATACATACTTAAAGGAATAATGAAAAATTTATTTATACACCCATTTAAAACTTTTTATATTTATTTTAAAAAAATACTAGTAAAGATAATAATTGATAAAAAAAATTAAATAGGAACATATTTTAAAAAATATTTTAACCAACTAAAAATAAATAGAAATACATGCAAAAAAAAAAAAAAAAAACTCTCATAGGAGTAAAGGAACAATATATTTTTTAAAAACGCACAAAAAATTACAATATAAAAAATTCACAAAAAAAAAAAAAATAAGTGTATAGGTTGTCACGTGACAACCTTATAGAAAAGAGTTTTAGCTATTTTATGTATTATTAGATTAGATGTATAGAGAAAAAAAAAAAGCAATAGGCAAAAGAGAGAGAGAAGAAAAATAAAAATAAAAAAGTCAAAAAATGGAAAAAAAAAAGAGAGGAAAAGCCAAAAAACATTAAAAAAAGAAGAAGAGGAGGTTAACATGTGGCCTCCACAGAGAACAACACATGATCTCCTTAAAAGTTAAATCTTCGATTCTTTTAAGTATGTATGTAGATACAGATCTAGGTTTTCTTTTAAAACAAGGAGTTTTCTCTAAATTTTGAAGTGTTTAAATGATATTGGATCTGTTGCTTTTGAGGGGGGGGAAAAAAATCTGAAAATTGGATGTTTTGAAGGTGTTTGAATCTGATATGAGTTTCTCATTAGTTCGCTCTGCCCTTCGAGAGTTGAACTTTAGAAGAAGGTTTCTTTTCTTTTTGGCTTTTTGATGATTTTTGAATTTTCTTTCAAGTCACCTTTTTTTTTATTGTGTTAAATTCATTAAAGGTCCGTGAATTTTACTCTCTTTTTATAATTTTTCATTGTACTGAAAATTATATCAACTCCGTTTAGTTCCCTAATTCAAGTTTTTAATTTGAGTTGAGATATGATTTTATGTGAAAGCTTTTTACTGTAGCAAAAAAATTAGATGTGACCGTTTTTTAGAATTTTTTTACTGTAGTAAAACTCAAATTTTAAACTTGAATCGGTAAAATGAACGGGGCTTTAAACTTTGAACTCTAATGTCTCAAATTATCTCTCAGTTAATATTCCGTTAAATTTTGAATGAAAAAATTAACATATTTGTATTTAAGTTATAAATAAATGAATAATTACCCTTTCTGACCATTTCTTACAAAATCTATACACACACTATTGTCAGCACTCTGAGCTTACTTTCTGTCATAAAAACCGGTTCTTGTCTCTTTGAGCATGTTTTTCTCATTGTTATCAAAATCAAAACCAAAGCCATCTGGTATTTCTTCTTGTATATCAACTTCTTCATTATCCCTTGCTTGTTTTCTTTTTTTTCCTAATCTCTTCTCTTGATGTTCTTTTTTTCTTTGAAGTTTTCTGTTCTTTTTTTAAACGTGTGGTTTATGGCAAGATTGGGTTTTGTTTTGTTTTTGTTTTTTTTTTCTGTTTCTTTTTTCCTTGTGTTTGGTGCCTTTGTTTATTTGTACATTTCTGTGAGAACAAATTTATACATTCGTTTGTTAATTGTACAAATTTATGCATTCGTTTGTTATTGCAGGTTGAAAAAATCTCAGTCCATTACCAATTTGTGAAACACTTAATCTAATTCAATCCAATCCAATCCAATCCAAAAACAACATATTCCGTAAATTGTATTATGTGGATTCGTAGATTGACCTATGTTTTGAACATTGATTCTTATAGCCTCTCTCTTTTCAATACTCTCATAAAATTAATAACAAAATTAAACACAAACATGATAACATTAAAATAGTTTCACAAAATCTAATTCATGACAACACATAATCTAACTAAAATTTAAGTCTTTGACAATAATTTAAAATCTAAGATTCAAAAGAATTGTAGGAAACAAACATCAATAAGTAAAGTCTTTGAAAATAATTTATAAATTTTCTATATATGTTACTTATATGTAATAATATAATATATATATATATAATATAAATAGTTCCAATTGACGGATTATATGGATTAAGAAATTCTTAATCCGTAATCTTCGGATTAGAAAATTTTCAATTCGTTATCAATTTAAAATTCTTTCAATCTAATCTAATCCATCGGATTATGCGGATTAGATAGATTGATGGATTCGATGAACACCCCGAGTGTTTATAAACTGTTTTAAAAAATCTGGGAATATTTTAAAACAAGATAGGGGGCATTTTTGAAATTATTCCCATGATACTGCCATTTGCACTACCCACTAGTTCCTTACGCGTGACAATATGCCTATCATCTGCACAACACAACGCAACATGATAAACGTCAGGAAATGATGATATTTTGGACCTGTTTAGTTCGTTGATTTGAGTTTTTAATTCGAGTTGAGATGTGACTTTATGTGAGAACTTTTTACTGTAATAAAAAAGTTAAATGTGACTGTTTATGACAATTTTTTACTGTAACAAAACTCGAATTCTAAATTCGAATCGGTAAAATGAACATAATGTCCAAATATGTTACATTGGGAATCGTGCACTTTGAAGACCTTTGTGACTTTCATTTAGGACCTTTATTCCCTTGCCATATCCAAAGGAATATATTCAATCTCTTTTTAGAGAGATTAATCCTCACTCAACTCAAAGCAGATCATAAGTTGACACAACATTTTTTTTTTTCTGTGTCTGTTGGTAAGATGAAGGAGCTTTGGCCAGATTCTCTCTCCAGTGATGCATTCAACATCAAGGAAGTTGCATTTTTCGGAATGGGAGGCATGGGGAAGATCATTTACTTTTCTTGAAGATGTAGAAGAGAGCTGGGAGTCGTTCTGCAATGACGAAAACCCGGCTCTCTTCTAGTTCATCTGAGGGGTATTTGGTTAGGATTATTATGTAATGATAAAATGCTTTATGATTTTTCTTTCATTGTCTAGAAGTAAGATTTTATTGATCTTGTTTACAATTTCGTCTTCTCTTTGTTCAGGTACGAGATTATTTTCAATTGCTACGTCTATTTGTAAAACTTACAACCAAATCGTGTAAGCACCCTTTGATTTGCTAACCATTTTTTTTTTTTTTATTATTCAATTTCAAGTGCCAGCAGATTTATGTACTTGAAGAAAGCAAAACTGTTTAGTATAGGCAAATGAAGAGAGAATCCTCTCCTTGATTGGGCATCCAAATCAATTGGAATTCTCTGGACTTTACAAATTTGCAAGTTCATAAACTGTCACATCATGATTTACAATAACAATTTGTATATGTACCAATAGTGTTATGATCAGAGTGATTTGACAAAGGTTGGAATTACTCCCATGACTTTCCCATTAATTTGTATATGTACCAAACACCACTTTAGCAAAAAAAATAAAAAAATAAAACAACACCCCTTTAGAATAGAAGAATATTTTTCCCCTGTAAGAGTTTTGAAAGGACCATGGTAAAAAGGAATGTGATCAAAGGCAATATATTTCTTACATGACATGTGACTATAATTAGAAAACTACTCATGTTAGCAGGTTATCTAAGCATTCTTTTATAACCAACAAAGATGATGTCTAGAGTGACTTTCATACAAAGACTTTCCCATGTTTCTTAAGGCATTCTATTCGTTATTTCTTTGGTTGTCACTTCTTTGGTTCTGTTATATTCTTAAAAACAGGAAAGATTGAATACTTTGCAGACTCAATAGATTCAACATCTATATAAAACACCCACGAGACATGGTTAGTAGGCAAATTGCAAGGAACTTTTTCTCCTTCTAACAACATGAATTTTTTGCTTCTACAAAACGTATGATTCCATATCCCGAACAAAGAACCAAGACGAAGATTATAGACACTTTGGAAACAAAATCAGGGTGTGTCCATTTGCATAAGTCAAGTCATTATAGTTAAAAAGTTGAATTTGAATTCATGTGAGAAAAATCACTGTAACAATATGACTAGAGTCATGAAATGAACAAGGCCTCAATAAATATTAGTTTGAGGGCGAAATCAGTTAAACTAACATTCGAATATCTAATACTTTTTGTCAAGTTGACCAACTTCTATCCAAAGCAGGCATCCAAAGATTTTTCATAATGAGCAATTTATTTCTAGTCATGAACAAAGATACCAAAGATGAAACGCTGAGAACATTTTTGCTTGAACAAACAGCAAGAAGAATATTAAACTAAATCACACAGCTAATGTAAGATGATCAGCTGATCATTCAAGCACCTTATTTTGATCAGCTAATTTTTCATGCCTTGTAAGGCACAGGTATCCTCTGTGTTCCAGGGCCGGCCACCATATCATCCCAAAGCAGATTTGACAGCTCCATTGTCAATTCTCCCACTCTTCCTGTTACCACAAACCATACATAAAACATCCCTTGTAAGAAGAGGTTTTATTCCACGTTATTCTTGCAATGACATTCTACAAAGAAAAAAAAAAAGAAGTTTTTACCATCTCTAATTGGTTGGTCATCCCACATGATTATTGGCAGCACAGGCAGTGTGCTTCCTACATACATCATTTCAGCAGCACTTTTGGCTTCTTCCACTGTTACGTTTGCAAGTTTGACGTCTTGTAGACGCCCTTCCTCAACCAACTTGGGAGCTAGTTCAAGAAGTCGTTTGACAGTGCAGCCACTGAGGATCTTATCGAAGAAGGGCACTATGAGCTCCTTCTCACGTGTAATAAAAGCAACATTCACATTTGGACCTTCCGCGACATAACCTTCCTCATCGACCCAAATAGACGCGACTGCTCCTTTCTCTTCAGCTTCCATTACCGAAAGAACATTTGGGAGGTAGTTCACATTCTTCATCGTTGCAAACTGCGGTGCCTTCATTGGCACGCTCGATGTTATCACCTTAACCCCTTCCTTGCACTGGGAAATGTCTTCACCAATGACCACTGCATAAAATGCAGAGGTTGGGCATTTTGCAGGAGAGAGCAAGAAGTTTCCCGGGCCTGCACTCAACCAATATCTTAAAGTTCCTCTCTTACAACCCGATGCTGCTGTCAGTTGCACGAGAATGCTCCGGAGAGTTGATCGAGGGAAAGGAGAAGGGATCTTTGCTTTTGCAGCTGATCTAAGGAAACGATCAAGATGGGCATCAAGTTCATAGAGGTATCTGCAGGGATATGACATAGAAGATGTGCACAAGATCATAAAGCCAAACGAGTGTATTGTAAGTAAACCAAATTAGGAGGACTGATACAAGGCCTAACCCATCGAACAAAACCGCAGTGTCAAACACACCGTGGCCTCGATGAACCATGTGATCGTCTATTGGAATGACCATCAGAGCTGGATCTAGAATGATGCCACCAAAAACGCTCGAGTACATGGCAGGGTAAGGTTGCTTTTCAACTGAGCTCCATTTCTCTTGGAGTTTTGCAACCAACTAGTGGATGAAACAAAATTATTGGATTTTTAAAGTTGAGAGTATACAAGGGCAATTTAGTGCTAAAACTTGCAAGAGAGATCATCAACTAACAACCCATTTATCTTATCCTTTTTTAGCATTTTTCTTAATATATTTCAGCAGCCAAAAATATCCCAAGACAAAATGAACAAGTAGAGGCATTCTCTTCCCCATATCTCTGTCTCCTTTCAGTTTACAGTAACAACACTTTTGAACTTTCTCAGATAAATACAATCCAGAAACAAAGGCACAATTCCTCTAAAGATAGCCTAAATTAGCATTGACCCACTTTCATTCAAAATAAATAAATAAATAAAAATATTCCTACTTGAAATTCTAGCAAAAAAATAATTCCTACTTGAAAACTTTAAACCAACCAGGGAAGTGAAAAAAAAGAAAAAAAAAAAGGGGAAAATTGAAGAAATTTGGCTTTATTTGTTGAGCTCTCACCTCAGATGATGATTGAAAGACATGAACTTCAAAGTCACTGCCATTTGCAACCTCCAATATCCCATCTTTCAAAACAATAACAGGAAAGCAAATTTAGAGCCGATATATTTAGGAACATTTAGTATGCAGTAATTTTAAAGATGGGAATAAAAGTATGTAATATTATCATATTTGGTACAAGAATTATAATTTTTAAATTTTTAAAAAAGTGATTATTATGAGATTCTTTTTCCTTCATTTTAAAGTAATTTGAATATCACTCAACATGTGTTATTCAAATTCTCAAGAATCTCAAAGAATCTTACCCACACCACACACCCAGTGCAGCTTACCACCACTGAGCATCTCCTCCTCCCTGTCGTAGCTGCCGAGCACCTCTATCACCCGAAGCTTGACGAGGCGGTCCAGGTCTGCACCCCCACTGAGCATCCCCCGTCACCACCGTCTCCCCCCCCCCCCTCGCCACCCCCCCCCCCCCCCATCTCAAACTTCGAAACAAATATCCTTCATCTTCCCCGCTATCTCTCACTTTCCTTCTTCTGGAATTTTCCATTTCCCATCCCCCCAAATCCCCAATCTCCCTCTCTCATCGAAGAACACGAAGATGAGCAATCAACAACAACAGCCGTCCGATCAATCCCACACCGACAAAAACCCCCAACTCCGATCCACCACCGACGCACAATTCCCCACATTCCTCCGACTACGTTTCTTACCCCAAGCTCCAACCAGACGACGTCGTTCCTCCCCCCCCAGTCCGAGACGTGGACCTCCGTCTCCATCTCTCTGCAACCCCAGTCGCCGCCGCAACCGCCCTCCGCTCCTCCTCCTCCTCCTCCGCCGCCCCACGCCGAACAGCGGGCTCCGATCGCCGTTTATTTAAGAAGAATTTTTGTGTTTCTTAAAAATAATCAAATTTTTAATACTTAAAAATATTTTAAATTAGTTATTATTAACCGAACACATTACATTATTTTATCACCCAAAAACACAATAAAATAATTTTTTAAAAATACGAGAAAAGATTCACATGCATAACTAAATGTAGTAATACACATTTTTTAAAAATTATATTCTCTTTTATCACTTTCTTAATAATATAATTCTTGTTCATTATCGCATACTAAACATCCCCTAAGTTAATGGATCATTATATATAACCAAAATTTAAACACTCTAAAAGTCACCTGATTTCTTGTCACGAGAAGAGCTGCCACTTTCCATGGTACTAGTACTCTGAAGAGACAAAAAGAAGCAAGAAACACAAGGGAAATAGAAAGAGAGGAATTAGTGGAGATAAAAGAGAAATTGCGGATGCTTATATTGGAATTGTATAAGAACCTTTTTCCGTTCATTTATTATTTATTAAACTATGACTAATGCTTTCTTATTCAATCACACAATAATAGAAGAAAAATTAAGTCAAAGTTTTGTCCTGAACTTATGGCAGATTTTGTAGTGTTTTCAGTGTTGTATTACAATGGAGTTAGGTTGGTGATTCCAAATCACTAAGTTACAAACGCTAGACTTTGTAAGCAAAGAAATTCTCAAACTTATCCGTGTTGTTTATTAAACAAAATTCCAAGCGAAGAATGGTAATAAAAAAAATAAATAAAAAATAAAAAATAAAAAACAAAACCTTGATGATTGAATGATTCAGCGAAGGACAAGGAACAATAAACTTGGTATTCTTCTAAAATATTCTATGTACATCTCCATCCACTTTAGTTTGATTTTGTGGGTTTCTGAACTTTTTGTACTTTGGCACTGGTACTACTGATTTTTTTTTTTTTTATAGCAATTCAGTCAAATTTTCAAAAAAAAAAAAAAAAAAAAAAAATTAGTGATTTACTACAATGGTTGACGGGGTTAAATTTTATATTGAATAATTTTTATTATTTATCATGGCCTGCACTTTCGTGATTGGGTTTTTTCAGCAAAAAAAATTCTGGTTAAAAAGGAAAAGCAAAACTAAACCAAACCAAACCTCAAATGATTGTACTAAGGACAAGGACAAAGACAAGAGACATATACTTTTCACAACTCATGTTTATTTATTAGAGTATTTTTGTTTATAAAAATTTAAATTTTTATTGCAGTATCTTTTTATATGTAAAAAAATTTGAATTATAAAAAGAATACACCTGTAACAATATATTGAGGACAAGTCTTATTAAAAAGAAAAATAAAAAAGGAATTGCTGAGGACAATGTACAATATAATAATTGCTGATTGAACCAAAAAATTAAAAAGAAAAAGAAAAAAGATTTAGGTACTCTCTCTTTTCTAACCTTCTCTATTTACCGAATTGTTATTTTTCCAAATAATTGAATAGTTAATTGCAGTTTGATTCTTTTTCTTCTTTGAGAATGCCATGGATTGGGATATCTAGAATCTGATGCTTGAGGCTAATTTGGCTTAAATATTTATATTCCTTTGTTTGGATTAGGAGGCTTGATAATGTTGTTGCTCATAAATTAGCTGTACAGGCCGTGTTGTTTTCTGTGATGGACGGAGCTATTTGAGGCTCTGAGGATTCCTTTGGTTGGGTTTGAAATTGATTCCGTTTTTTTCACGTTTTTTGAGAAAAAAAAATTAAAACGTTTTTAAAACGGCGTTTGGCGTAATAAAAACAAAAAACAGAAATGAAAATGATTTTTTAGTTTAGTGTAAAATGAAAGATAAATAAAAAATTACTTTTAGTCGTTTTTTTATTTTTTATTTTCGTTTTCTCTTCTCTCGAACAGAAAGAGAGAGATATATATATTAATGAGTTTTTTTATACTAAAAATAATATCTTGATAAAACTACCAACGCATTTTTAAAAATGATTTCTGTCTAAAATTGAAAATGTTTTCATTTGCATAAAAAAAATAAAATCATTTTGAAACGAGTTCCAAACGCGCCCTTTATTTTTTATTTTTTTTCCCTAAGCTCCTTTTTTTTGTTTGTTATTTTTCCTCTTAATTTGGCCCTCCTAAGATCTTATAATTTCAGTTTTTATAATATGTTATCTAAATTTTAACTTTATGCATACTCAATAAAATTTAAAAATTAAAAGAAGATATATTTAACAAGGTAAATTTTGTATTTTATTTAATTTTATGACATTAAGTTAAATAAAAGGTGTCAAAATAAAAGAGTTTTAACTAATAATCTAAAAGGATACTTTTATTTTTATAACTATACGTAGCTAAACAGGGAATTTCAATTTCACTTGAACTCAGGGAAGCGAAGAAAAATTTTTTGGCCCCGTTTAAATTTTATTATAGTAAAAAACTCTCAAAATAAGTCACATTTAATTTTTTTATTACAATAAAAAAATTTTATATAAAGTCACATCTCAATTCGAATCAATGAACTAAACGGGTCCTTTGTGATTTTCTTGAGATTTTACGTGAGTGGCCCAGTGATCCATGGTGACATAACTGTCTCTGAGTACGTACATGCCTTTGACCTTCTGTTAGTAACTTCTGTGTGCGTTAAAGAGGTCCAAGAAGACAAGAACTTGGCTTCTGTGTGTCTCATTAGAACCCTTTGACAAGAAAAACGTGGAGCTACCATCGGTGTTAAGCACTACAATCAGTAAAAGGTGAATCCTATATATAGGTTAGATGTTGTGATATTTATATTATATTAAGTCTCGTTTAGTTTGTTGATTCGAGTTTTTAATTCGAGTTGAGATGTAATTTTATGTGAGAGCTTTTTACTGTAGTAAAAAAGTTTAATGTGACTGTTTTTTAGAGTTTTTTACTGTAGCAAAACTCTTAAATTCGAATCGATGAAATGAATGAAGCTTTAGTATGTGATACTCAACAGCACTAATTGCTCTATAACGCTATTCTTTCAACAAGTACAACCACTTTGAGAACAGAAAGGGCTTGCGAAACTTTATGCACAAAGTCTACATTGTGAATCGAATTTATTGTGGCAAAGGTTTATTTGAGCATAAAAAATTATGGGCAAGTTGATCAAATTAGTTAATATTATTGTTTTAGATTAGTTAATTATTGTGTCATACTAATTAAGTCCACTATTTTGTGTCACTATATTTGCCTTTTGATCCATATTGAATAGATACTAATCTGGACTAGGTCCCTTGTTTTTCCCCATTCGGGGCTTTGGATTTATTTAACATATTTCAATAGTGCTTTTAAGAATTTTTAGCACTAGTAGTCCTATAATGTTTTTGGGCTAGAGACATAACTTTCATCCTTAAATGGTCTAAAACAGTTGTTTTTATCATATAAACTTCTAATACCTATAGAAAAGCCCTGTACTTTTGCCGCCCTCTCTCCCAAATTTCAACATAATTATAACAAGTAAGGAATACAGATTAACTTTGAAGCCATATAAGTATTCAAATATATACACATACTTTTTGAAGTAATATGATTTTGAGTATAAATTTGCGCAGAATCTAACCCAGTGAGTTTTGTATTACTTTTGTAACTCAGTCTTATAACAAGTAAGGTCATATCTGTTTATAGCTTTGTATATGTACTGACAAATTGTAACACGTGACCGGAAGAACATTAAATTTATCAGAAATATTTAAGCAACACCGTCGTCTAGATGATCCGAAGACGGTCTTCGACCACCGATGATATCGTAACGATTACACAAGTTTAGCATGCCTTTGATAGAAAGACTTTGTCCTCCTTAATGCCTCTTCAAGGGCAGATGGATCTACAGCAAAAGTAATTCTAAGCCAGTTCTTGAGCCCCACTGCTGTCCCTGCATGCAAAACAAGTTTTGTTGTTCACTTGTTAAGTAATGTCAAATGACCCACCTACTTGCAAGCCCTTTAGATGTTGTCATACATACATATATATATATATATATACACACACACACACACACACATATATAGCTTTTCGTGAAGGATTGTTCCTACATTTAACATATAGAAGCCGCGGGTATAACACGTGTAATAATGACTTTAAGAGGAATAATAACGAAGAACATTTTGTCATATACAAAAATACACCTGAGATGTGAGGAATTATTTCCAAATTTATTACCATCATGTACAATTTTACCATTAATTGTACCATTTTACTGACCTCTTGAAACAAAATGATGAAAAGACCCCAATCACCTATGGCCATACCGCAATGTGCAGTCCATTTGACAAGTTAATGAAAAATTGATGTGGTGACATAAAAGTGACATGCAAACTAAGCTACAAGAAATCATGAAGTACCAAAAACACAAGTTTGTGTGTCCTTTTCTTACCTGGAAGAAAGATCACAGATTCTTCTTTGGCAAGTTTGAAACAGAAATCAATGTCGTCACTAATATCTTCCAGTAATGAGAGGTTCAATTTCACCTGCATTCATTAAACTAAAATAAGCAAACATGAAGTCTTATAATACTTTCTCGCATCACAAAACTGAACATTCAGCTATTTTCCTCACCATTACAGCCATAGATCCCTCAGGCCTGTGTGGACAGGTAATGCATGGAATTTCCATTATTCTATCACAACAAATATCTGAGTTCTGCTTCAGTAAGTAATTGGTTCTTTTGAAGTAAACCTCCTCTGTTTGCTCTAGGATGCGAGGAACCGCTGCCTAAAACACCAACAAAGGCATACTAATTCATAAGAGACGTGAGAAATGAATCGATGGAATTTTCGGTCGTGAATTCTCAACATCAGACAAAATTTGCATTGAAGTTTCTCATATTATAAAATAGGATGAATAATAACCAGAAAACTCTATCAGTAGTGCACAAGAATGATATTCTTTGCATTCAGCTAATATCGACATTGCCAATTACTAAAATACCTGTATTTTGAGTCTTATTTCCATTTATTTTTATCTTTTCAGTGCATGAAACTGCAGGAAATGCAGATACATTACTAGCTGCCATTTGAAACATGTCAATCTGGTACTTTTGCATAAATAGGTTGCTCCGAAATGAAGAAGCTTATGTTACATGATCTAAGCGAATTCGGAAGTCATTTCACCAATTACGGAAACTAGGATCTTTAAATTCTATCCTAAAGAAATTTGTTCAAATTACAAACCTGAATGAAGGTTGCTGGGCCACCCAAGATGTCAAAATATTTCTTGATGCGTTCAATTATCTGAAGCAGAACATGTACAAATGAATAAGTTAGGCATAATTAGAATCTCTCTATGTAAATAGTGATTTTAATTGGATGATCTTATTGTGAAAATCATGATACACCATAACAGAAAATTCCGATTGTGAGACGCAATATGTACAGATTTATTGAATTACTTTCGAGAAAGAATGCAGCATATCTAAGTTGAGACAGTAATGCAGCCAAATTTCATCTTTCTTTCTTGGTTATGAAAATTTCAACTACGGACATTTAGAGGACGTTTGGTTGATGGATTCACAATCATAATTCAAAATCATGATTCAGAACCATTCTCGATTTACGTGTGTTTTTTGTGAGAGAAAACACTGTAGCGAGCCACGAACCATGATTCAAACCATGGCACGAATCCTTGAACCAAACGCACTCTTAAGAAAAGGAGACTTCGAACCATTTTTAAGTACACTTCATTGTGGTTAAATTATTGATCAAACTGTACATATTATTTTAGAACCATGCTATAAGGAAGTTTAAGAAGAAACGTACAAATGAAAGAGTCAAAGAAAGAGGAAGAGAGAAAGAACCTTGGGTTCTCTAAACATGCCACATGGATCACTTGTCACGAACCAACCAAGTCGCCATCCAGGTACTATCCATCTCTTTGATAAGGACCCAAGAGTAAGAACAGGAACAGTTTCTCCAAAGACACCCATGGGTACAAATAGATTGCGTCCGAAAGCTAGGTGCCCATAAACTTCATCAGCAATGACAGGAATGTTTAGCTTTCTTGCAGTCTCTGCAATCTAATTGAAACACACAAGGCAAAAGAAAATACAAATATTTGTTAGAATGTTTTGTGTGGACTAGCATAATCATAAATTTAAGCATGTTATGGACAACGTAATCGAGTAATATTGGTTATGCATGTATTACATATTGGGTCATAATGGGATAGACACTCTTTTATTGAATTGCTTGAGATTCATGAACTCCCTCTCTCCTATTGCTTTGGTCAGGCCATTGGGCCAAAGAACCTCCCTATACGACAACATCCACTAAACATGTGAAACATAAGAATAGGGCGAATCACATTTTATGTAACTTGGCTATGTGGTGTGTCAACAGGGGTTTGCTGAAAAAAGTGAGAGGAAGAGCAAGAGAAGAGTTCAGCACTCTCAACACTTTGACCGGTTGTTTGACAGGGCGGATTCCGACAACTAATGGCGGCTCCACCACCACCAAGTATGGGAGGTAATTCATGATCCCCTTTTACTATAGCATGCTTCAAAGTTCAAAAGGCCAACAATAGTTTTTATATTTTAACACTCCCCCTCATGTGTGGCATGGATAATGGACACTCGGGTGGGTAAATAATTAATTGTAATTATGTTTATCAATCCATCCCAAAAAGCTTAAGCTGTTAGGAGGTGCCCAAACATAGTTTTTAATAGTGTTTACTTAAATCTATCAACATCTTCTTGGACCCCAAAAAAAAAAAAAAAAAAAAAAGGAAGTCCATCCAAGAACAGAATTTGTCTGGAAACAGAATGCATACATTAAAATACTAACCTTCTCCAAATGCTGATAACTGCATACATTCCCACACGGATTACCGGGATTTATAATAACCAAAGCAACCGTATTGTGATCTGCAAGTGCTTCAACTGCATCAAGATCAACTTCCCAGCCATTTTCAGGGAGGAGATCAAAGTGGCGAACTTCGATATGTCTGAAAGAAGCGCAAAGTTCATAAATTGGAAAGCCCGGTCTTGGAAGCAGGATGTTTGCGCCAGGGCGTGCAAGCATTGCCAATGCAACATCAATAGCTTGTGTGCAACCAGATGTGATGAAAACATCATCAGATGTTAACTTGTATGGAAGATCACGAGACAAATACTCAGCAACAGCCCTGTTAAAACAAATATCAAGGCAAAATTATCGATCAAGAATGCATCTAAACCATTAAAAAAAATCTAAAACTAAATCTAACAGCACTTTACTGCCATTTTTATGTGACATTTTTATGTGGCTCTAGACATATTGTTAGCCACTGCTTTGAGAGACTTAGTTGGCAGTTGGCTAGGCCTTGAATGCTAATTGGTACTCAAAATATATTTAGAAGCAAAGGAGAAACTCCCAAAAAGAAAAAAAAAAATCCATAACAATGAGAACAGAATTCTAGAAAGTTACAATCACTGCATTGATTTGTCTTGCATTTGAATTTATATCTTTCTGTAAGCTTGAACTCAGTTTGTGCTATATAGGTGTATAGCTAGCCTTACACATTTACTAATAGGGGAAAATCGAGAGGAAAATCCCAATTTGAAGAGAGAACTAAAATAAAGAAAGCTAGATAATTATTAAATTGGAATTGTTTTCAAATGTATCAGATTAGATTATTAGACCCGTGGATTTTATTTCACTCTTGCTTTGAAATGTTTTTTGTAACTTAATACTGCCTTTAACTGCCATAAAAAGTGTCACTTAGACCATCTTCAATGCAAATGCTAATGTTAATTGTATATTTACCATCAAAAAGTGTGATATGGTATGTTATTTTCATTTCTGCTCCAAATCATAATGCTATGTGAAATGCTAAATCTACTTTTTCTTATAATTATTAAGCTTTAAAAGTTGTAAAAGTAAACTTTTATGTTTAAAATAATTAAAAAATGTAAAAGTTGCAATGATTACATGAAAAAGTAAACATTTCAATCAATAGCATGCCAAATTTCTCATATGATATACTTAGTGGGAAATTTGCCACAACATATAGAATATAGGAAATTTAAAACAACACATAGCATTGGATTAGAGACTCAAATGCTAAATTTATAATTGACACATCAATTATACTATTGCATGGACGATGCTCTTAAGAAGTAGATAACTAAAGCCAGACAACAAATCTAAAAAGAAAAAGAGAGAGGGATAAAAATCACGTCAAAATGAAAAAGTGCACCAAGTGGATAAAATTTGATTAAAAAAAATTTAGTTTAAAATAGCATCCTAAATCAGACGGTTTTTCTCCTATCATGGATGAGTTGATCAAAGCCTGGTATGTAGGAATCTGAGTATCAGTCGACTGCCATCGCCCTTCACTCATCAATTCCTCAAAGTCTAAAACCCCAAACTCCAACGGATCAACAGACGATTCGGGGACAGAACCTGACTCGGAGACAACGTAATGGATACTATCATGTCCCAGTAAACAAACTCCTAACAAACAACTTAGCCGGAAAAGGCCTATTTTGAGCTCTAGCGGGTGTTCCCGGTCCTTTAAGAAAGAGCCTTTCCGGCAATTAAAGAATTAAAGCCGATGAAGCCAATATGTTCTCCTAGGCCGGAGCCAATTTTCGACTTTGCTATGTGTGTTTTGGCCCTTTCGTGATTGGATGTAAATGTTAAAGATTTTTTCTCGGAGAAATCTCTCTTATACAAATAGCTGTCAACTCTGTCACCTCATTGTCAAATTTAAATGAACTACCGAAAGCAAAAGTGCCACGTAAATTTAAAAATTCAACTTCTCTCAGCATCAAATAAATAAAAACAAAATAAAATCCTAACTAAAATAAAAAAGTAGAACCCAGAGAGCAAATTTTAGATATTATAGGCAAAGGCAAAGGCAAACAAACACAAATCCAAATTCTGGGATTCGATAAAAACAAGGAAAAAAACCACATTAACGTCACAAAATACCCTTTTAAAAAAAATTTACAAAAAAAGAAAGAAAATAATAAGAATCCCATTAAAGTTGATTACTTACCTTCTTGTTTGAGGAAGACCAACAGTTGGGGCATAACCATTGAACTTTTGAGAATGGAGAGAATCAAGAACAGAGTCTTGAGCGACATGGGCAGTTCTAAAGCAAGAATAAGCAGTTGGGTCACCCATTCCGAGAGAAATTACTCTCTTTTCATTACTCTCGTCAATATTCTCCATTAAAAGCCCAAGAATTCCTTTAATGGTGATTGTTGAAGGAGCCGTATAAGCTGCTGACTCTAATTTTTCTGCTGATATTACTCCCTCATTTTCTCTTCTCTCCATATTTTTTTTTCTTTTCTTTCTTTGATTTTCTGGTTGTCGAACTCGTGAGTTTATGTGGCGGTTTTAAAAAGCTGCAGGGATTCTGACAAAAGGAAGGAAGTGGTGTGTGGGAGAGTGCATGACCGACGGCCACACGTTCATAGTCTCTTTTATAATAAGCAGCTGTATTTCTCCTTCTCCCTCTCTCCATGCAAACAAAACTTGACAAGTCAAATAAATCTTAATAATTAATTGAACAAAAATTAAAAATCCATGTTTTTTTCTTTTTTTAAAAAAAGGACAGTTGGTCAGTAAAGATGTCAATTGTGTGGTACAGTGTCGTACCGGCTTGTCTCCAATTAATTTTCGTCCCGATCATTTCGTTGATTCAAATTTAAAATTTAAATTTTATTATAGTAAAAAGTTCTCACAAATAATCACATCTAATTTTTTTATTACAGTAAAAAATTCTCACATAAAATCACATCTCAACTCGAATTAAAAACTCGAATCAGCGAACTAAACAGGTTGTCTCAACGTGTTTTATGTGAATGTTTAGTTTAACATCTCGGTCATTTTAATAGATTTGAGTTTTTAATTTAAATTGAAATATAATATTTTTAAAAAATTTATTATTATAATAAAAAAAATTAAATGTGATATTTTTTAAGAATTTTAAATTATAAAAATTTAAAATTAAAAACTCAAATAAATAAAATAAACGAGACCTAAAGCTTCATATCTTGAAATGTTCAACAAAACATTTCGCAAACTTCCACTCAGGCGCGAAAGGTTTTGTTACCTGCCCCCACTCATTCTCTCTTAATAGACAGGTATAGATAATAGATTAAGAGTTAATTTAATTAAAAATTAAAAGCTCGTGGAGAATTTATTACGTTTAATTTATAAATTTAAAATTATTTTTAATTTACGTGTATTTTTTATGAGAAAAAATATTATAGCGAGTCACGAATCATGATTCGAATTATGACATAAATTCTCGTACCAAATACAAAGTTTAGGGGAACCCTATTATTTGTGAGTGTACCAATTCATGAAGAATGCTATTTAGCACCAAGAATTATACAACCTCTACATATGTATTGGCGCATCAAAGCAGTATGGAAACCAATTATTGTACTTGTTATCATGTGAAATCTCTAATATTCTATTTCATCATGTTCAATAGAAAAAGAGTCCATATTTACTTTTCCTTATCCAAAAATTGCTACTATCATTGCTCTAATTCTTCTTAGCTCATTTTATACTTTTACATTGACTTGCGTTATTAGGGTCTCGTTCATTTCATCAATTTGAGTTTTTAATTTTAAGTTTTTACAGTAAAAAGCTCTCAGAAAATATCACATCTAACTTTTCTGTTACAGTAAAAAGTTCTCATAAAATGTCACATCTCAGCTTGAATTGAAAACTCGAATTCGTAAAGTGAACGAGGTCTAGAAAATCAGAATCAAGTTAAAAATGATCTCTCGCTATTAGTGAATGATTTATGTTTTAAATCTTTTTCTTTACGGTTTTAATATAAAGGCCTCTGAACTTCACATATTTGGTCACTTTCTTTATTCTAGTAAATCTTCAAATTCGTTTGTACAGTTCAATCAGCCGCCATCCAATTCCCAATTTTGTTTTTATCAATATAAGTGGTCCCTTGCTTTTAGCCAACAAAAAAAAAAAAAATGGTGGTCCAAACTCCAATGTGTTGCATGTGACACCAACCCACACCCATACATAAAATAAAACGACATCTTGTTTTCACTTTTGAAACTTCCATCCATTAAAAAGTGAAAGAAATAAAAGCATGGGAAAAACAAAAAATATGCGGTTTTCCTTGTAATTAAAAATTCGTATAAAAAAGATGTGATCTAATAAAAAAATATTTAGAGATATTGTAGGTCTTCAATACCATGACTAATAGAAGGCAGACATCACCTTTAGATCGTATGATAGAACTCACTGTTTATTAATAGATGGTACTTAATATCACTATATACCTGATTGGTTGAAAAATTTGACTGACTGATCCAAACATAAAGTTAAAATTTGACTGCGTATTGTAAAAATTAGCCCACGTTATCCCATACTCAAAAGTATGCCTTGAACTACTATCAATGATGAAAACTGTATATATTTGGAAGGAAAAAATAGAGCTCGCCGCTTGCACGTGACGATCAAGAGTTTTGGTCGATGTAACTTTACAAGCCCCGACCTCATGGCACCAACATTGACATTGATGATAACCAGAATGGATAGAATGAGAGAGAAGATAAAAGGGGAGAAGTGGGGAAGGGATTTAGGGTTAGGGTTAGGTTTCATGTTAATTTGGAAAATTTTTAAAAATACCCTTTAAAATTGAGCCACACTTTATTTCTACCCCTTAATATTAGTAGGGTTGTTCATAAACCCAAACAACCCGCAAACCCAACCCACCCCGCCCCAACCCAAGTCGAAAAAAGCAACCCGCAGCATTATTTTTAAATTTGCGGCTCATTATACCTTTGGCCTGAAGTGTTTGGGGCGGATTACGGGTTGGGCCCATAACAACCCGCAATCCCCAACCCAACCCGCACAACATACCCCCAAGCTTTCGGCCCAAGCCGAACTACCCAAGTTCTACCCTAGGCTCGCTAACATTAGGGTTCACAATCTCATTCTCGGTCTCCCCTCCCGTGAACCCCTTCTTCTTGCCTCTTCCTTTTCAGTTTTCCTTCTTCTTTTCCTCCCGTGATAACTCTCTCCTCATTGCTCAGTCCTCTCGCCCGCCGTCTTGCCCACTTTCTCCGGTGCTCTCTCGCCGGACTGATAAGGATGGTTACTATTTCTATTTAATGATGAAGTTTGAATATTATATTGAACTTTAAGTCTTTGATTTTTTGAATGTTGAAACCGACCACCCAACCCACCACGCACCGCCCCAACCCAACCCGAACATCGTTGGGTTGTGAAATTTTTCTAACATCGTTGGGGCCAAATATGTGCAACCCGTACCCTTTGGGGCGGGGAAAAAAAAGTCCTACCCCGCACCAACCCAACCCATGAACAACCCTAAATATTAGCCCATATATTTATACATTTTCGATTAGAACTAGTCAACAGGTTTTTTTAAAAGAGATACTTTTATTAAGTCGGGTATTTAAAAAGATAGAATCTATAATTTTCTCTGTTATATATTAATTTTAGTATGTTCGATCGGATTGAAAGTTGTGTATTTCTTATTAAGAATAAGGAGAAAGAGGTAGTTTCCTTTTTTTTCTTCTTTAAAGTGGAGCCTTGGATTAACTGAGATTTTAATTTGGAACTATGAGTATAACCTAGAACTTTTATTACTAACGTAAATTTTAAATTAGAGAATTTTAATGGGGCAGAATGTAAGTTTAATTGAATTGTACTCAATAATATACATACTAATTAGAATTTAGCTAGAAAATCTCAGTGGATTTTCACCCCAAAAAAAAAAAATGATTTTTTTCATCTTCTTTTTTTCCCCCTCAGACATAAGAAGATTTGAGTTTAGGACCTTAACATTAGAATTTTGCCGAAACTTTAAAGTTTAAAGTTTTAGAATTAAGCTAAATATGACCAAACCTGTCATGCAAACTTATGGTCAATACATAATGCAAAAAAAAAAAAAAAAAAAAAAAAAAAAAAAAAAAAAAAAAAAAAAAAAAACCATGGAAAACTGCAAAATATTATGGAATTTTTAAAATACACAAACATGAAACATTGAGGAATAAAGAAAAGTCTTGTAGAAGAAAGAACTGAAATTATAGTCAGCGCAACAAATTTCAGTTGTTATAACTTGGATCTTTAGTGCGAAATAAGTCATCTATCTTGTTTTAAAGCAAACACTAGAAAAAGATTGTTACGTGTATAAATTGACATTTTCCTAATACAAAGAAATGCTACTGCAGAGTCCTTTTTCAAACGTCTAATGAGGCGACATATTTACATACGGACGGTAGTTTGAAGCTTGTAAATAAGCAACCAAGAAACTCAAAAAACGACAAAAAAAAAGAGAAAAAAAAAGGTTAGGAAGAAGCCAACTCAGAGATACTTGCACCACATGATTCCATGGCACACAATTAGTTAAATTTAAGCAGTTTGGTTTTTTTTTTTTTTTAATTTATTTTTTTGGCTTATTTTCATTTGTCTAATTTGGACGTGGATTGTAGTGTATCCAAGAAAAGTTTTTGGCTCATTCTCATTTTAGAGTTCGTTTGGTACAAAGATTTAAATTATGGTGATTCTAAACATGATTATGGAATTAGAATCATGATTCATGATTTTAGGTTCAAATCACGATTCTAAAATTATGATTCAGAATCAGGAGTTTGAATCACCTTGAATCAAGAGGGAGGTGGTTTTAAAATTATGAGTGATTTTGATTTAAAACATCACATTATATTCTAAATCATGGTTCAGAATAACTGTAAACAAACACTGATTATGAATCAGGATTCTGAATCATGATTCTACATTCATCAACCAAACGCCTCCTTAGTCTTATTCTAATATGCAAACACTATTACCCGTACTATATCTCATCCATCATCTCTTTTATTTTTAAGAAGCTATGGAATCCACCAATAAATAATGGAAAAGACCTTATCTAAAGAAAGAATGAAAAAAAAAAAAAAAGAGAGACATCCAACGAACGAGAGAAAAGAAATATCTAAAGAAAAAATATAAAAAGAGAGAAAAGAGATATCTAAACGAGATGACTCGTTTCGTAACGGGTTCTACGGGTTTAAACCCACTAGTTTAATAGAACTTTCATTTGGGACTCCAAAAAACATATTTAGGTTGAAATCCCAATGGGATATTTGAACTACACCTCAACCCTAAAATTGAGAACCCACCTCTCTTTTGAATTTCGCCTATTTGAACTTATATGGTGATCTTATCTTATAAAAAGTTTTTTATTTTTATATGCTTAGTCAAAAGCTTAATAATTTATCAGCCACTTTGTCAAAAGTGGTTCTGTGTTTTATATAATTAGTCGCAAGTGAAATAGTAAAGAATGACAAAGTAGTTCCGTTTTTTGTATAATTAGTCACAAGTGAAATAGTAAAGAATTCACTTTGTCAAAAGTTCACATATTCAAATAAAGATTCAGACCACCGGTTCAAACCCAACAGAACTTCACACATGGTTCAATCTCAAAGGTTCAAACCACCTAAATTTTAACCCCGACCAAATGAGTCCTTAGTTAGAGAGAGAAAAAAAAAAAAGGTCTAAGGTGAGAGAAAGGTGGTTTGAGGAGAGAGATAAGTGAGGGAAAAAAAGAAAAAACAATAAACCTTGGATCTATTAAAGGGAGATGGAGAGAGTTGGAAAAAAGGTTTAATGGTGATACAAAAGGTCAATGACATACCTTTTAAAATTACAAAATGCTCGTTTAGTTTACTGATTTGAATTTTTAATTTGAGTTGGGATGTGACTTTATGTTAGAGCTTTTTATTGTAGTAAAAAAAGTTAGATGTGACTGTTTTTTAGAACTTTTTACTGTAGTAAAAAAGTTAGATATGATTGTTTCTGAGAGCTTTTAACTGTAGCAAAATTAGAATTTTAAACTCGAATCGGTGAAATGAATGATGCCAAAGACTATTATTAATTATACTAAATAACCCATTTAGTCGCCTAAGACTGGGTACCACTTTTGATTTACTCGTCACTCGTCCGTATCACTTTGACATATAAATTATATATGCGCAAGTGTTTCCAGGAGATAAGATACTTTCAAATACCAATTTTTCTAAATATGGTAATCCTCTAGTTAACCCGTTTTTCTTTTTGAAATTAATTAATCCCATTTTGCTGCGAAAGGTTTTTTTTTCCAGAAAAAAAAGTTACACTCGCCATCTTAAAATTAAGACCATTTGTTCTACTTTCCCATCTAAAAAAAAAAAAAAAAAAAAAAAAAAAAAAAAAAAAAAAAAGACGTAGTAGTCCCCACCACCTTCAAATTAACACAACTTGGGCCCAGGTGAACGTGCTGGGTTTGCATTTCTCTTCATTTGGGTAGGCCTATATTAGCCTTTTTAAGTCCCAAATAGTAAAAATTCTCTTTTGTTTTATTTTTTTTTTCCGCCGAAATATGTGTAGCTTGGAATAACGGGGAGAATATTTATACATATTTATCATCTTCTACGTACATAATCATTACTATTTGTTTTTATTCTTTCAGAACTAACCTTAGAACGTATATAAAAGCTCTTCAGAATATATCATAAATTTCAATGCAAATGTGTTATCTATTAGGATACAAAATGACTTTCTTAGCACCCCTTTAGTTATATTAACGCACAATAATAACAAAAAGTTTAGCAAAATATTGCAAGTGGCGCTAACCTGGCTAATTATGAAGCTCTCCTTGTTACAAGATGCACCTTCATGCGCATGCTTAGCAAGTCGACGCCTTAGCCTTCTATTGTCTTGATCAATTTTATATGTATTACGTAAAATTGCATATATATATATATATGTGTGTGTGTGTGCATTATGTGCGTAAATGTATATATAAGGAAAATAATAATAATAATAAATAAAACATTAAGATAAGGTTGATCCATAGATAGGGTTTGTTTAGTATTCAAAGAGATGACTCATTTTGGACGTCTATCCAACTAGGGATTCGTTGAAAAGGACGTTACCATTTATACCCAGATAAGCTCAATTACAAAGGAAGCTCAGTGCAATACGTTGTAATATATATATATATATATATATATATATATATGTTCTTACACAATCATATATCATGTAAACTATTGTTAAAATAAGTGCATTTGTGTTGAGTTGATGAAAATGTAAAGTGATTTATATATATAGAATGACTTAAGACTTAATAAGTTAATTTTATAAGGCAAGTTGGGCCTTGAAATGTATTAGACCAGTTTCGCATGAAGTGTCTCCCCAACAAGTGGTATCAGAATTGATGGTTCATATGGACCAAGCGATCACACTCAATTACAGTTCTCACGTTGCCTCCCGTGGAGAGTTGGTGTTCTTGCAGTTTGGTGGAGCATTGTTGGACTAGCATGGCTTCGGCTCTCTTTTCCATGTTCGAGTTGGCTCTCATTTGGAACGTGATGCTTAGATATGCCGACTACTAGAAATTTTGATTTGAGGGGGAGCTCAGTAAACACACACATGAAAGGAAGATTGTTAAAAAAAGTACATGTGTGTTGTCCCACATAAAAAGTGAATGAAAATGTGAAGTGCTTCATATACATGGAAGGTCTCAGTACCTAATAAGTTAATTTTTTAGGTTAAATTGAACTTATAAAGTGTGTTGAGCCGATTTCGTATGTGGTGTATCCCCAACAACTATACTCCTAATTATAGGATTAATCAGAATGATTAAATTATGTTTTCCATTAATGCCCAATATGTGATTTTTTTTTTGTTTCATACAGTTCTCTTCTTCTATTTAATTTCTTGTCAAGTGAGTAATGTAAGAAATAGGGACGCATAAAGATAATGAAAATTTCTTTTCCGATTGCTTAAGGGGGGGAAAAAAAAAGAAAACTGTACATGGGCCAAACACTAATTTGGGATGATCAATAAATTCAAATATTATGTGTCATTACGTTTGGTTCATGTATTCAGAATTATTTTTGTTTTATGTGTATTTTTTATAAGAGAAAAACACTGTAAAGAACCATGAATCATGATTCAAAATCAAGAACGAATAAAGCAAACAAATATCCTCTAATCCTTACATTTCTATATATATATATTTTTTTTTGGTTTTTGCTGAATAGTTTTATTTTCTTATTTTTTTTGTTGAACTATAGTTTGCGTACTTTTTTTTTCTTTTGCTAATATAGAGATTGCGTACTTGATGACAGAAAGTGCGATTATTAAAGAAATCGATGCACGTGCATTATCATATATATATATATATATATATATATATAAATACACACACTCACGTACGTGTCAACCTCATCCTCGTCAACACGTACGCAGGATATGAATCATCTATATATCTTTTGTATCTCCTAATCCCATGAATATCTCCATAGAAAGAGGAGCTTGATCTAAAGTCCCGTCACAGTATAATATTTTTCAAATGAATTTATAGTTTTTTAATGTAATATAATAAATAAATTATACGTAATATGATAGTAGATTATATTTTATTGAGTGTAACAAAAATATGGAAAAGTTGTTACATATGTAATAAAAATTATTACATTTGTACGATCGGCAAACTGAAAACACATCTATATATTATAATATATATATATATATATATATATATCTAATATCATAGATTTCTAATGTTGACGGTGGATTAGCGTGTGGGGATATCTTTGGTCGTTACTCGGAGAAGTACTAGCTAATAGCTATGACCCTTTGAGTCTATGAATGTCTTTCTCATACTTTTATTCATTAAACACTCGGAGTTCATTACGTTTGATTGGAGGATTCAAATTATGTGATTCGAACTATTTTTTATTTATGTATATTTTTTATGAGAAAAAATACTGTAGCGAATCACGAATCATGATTCGAATCAGGAAACGAATCCATCTACCAAACATTTAGGAGACGTTTGGTTCATGAATTAGAATTATAAGATTAGAAACATTTTTTATTTACGTATATTTTTTGTGAGAAAAAACACTGCAGCGAACCATAAACCATGATTCGAATCGGGATACGAATCTCCCAACCAAACAACCCCTTAAATTACAGTGCTTTTAATTTTAATTTTAAAATTATAATCATAATTTATGATTTTGTGTTTATATTATTGTTTTGAAATCAGAATCAGAATCATAATTTTATGTGAGGGATTCATAGTTTAAAATACACATCAAAATTTAAATATTAAATCAAAATTATTCAAACTAAATACTGATATTGGGTGAATCAAATCAGAATTATTTTTTACTTTTTATAAATAAATTCTAATTTTAACTTAAAATTATGATTCCGGATTAAGAATCCTTATACCAAATAGCCACTAGCGAGTAGAAAAGAGGTAACAAGGACTAAAAACCATTATTATTAAGTCATGAATCATTAGCTTATTTGGAAGCGTTTTCATGAGAATGTTTTTATTTTGAGTATAAAAATATAAATGAATAAATTCATGTGTTTAGTTGTGTTTCTAAGTAGATTTTTTTGTATAATAAAAAATAAAATTGTATGTGGTTACGTTATGAAAATAATGTCGAGTATATAAGTATATGATGGGTAGTTTCAATCCCAAAGGTTGTGTCTTCACGCTTTAGGAAAAAATATATCTGAAGTATTTTTTTTTAATTATTTATTATGGGCTACAAAATTGGAAAATATTTCTTTTCTATCAGTATCTAAAAAGTCTATATATCATACTTTTATGTCTATGCCTGCTTTCTTTAAAATTACTTTCTTTGTCATTTTCTCTCTCCTTTTTTATTTTTTAATTTTGCCTCAAGATCTCTTTTTGGTTTCAAATGTTGATGTATAAACGTGGGTTGTGAAAACTTGTATGTATACACGTATGTCTGTTCATTTCACCGATTTGAGTTTTATTACAGTAAAAAGTTATCAGAAACAATCACATCTAACTTTTTTACTACAGTAAAAAAACTCACATAAAGTCACATCTCAACTCGAATCAGCAAATTAAACGAGCCCGTAAAAACTCTATACTTGTGTGCATAAAATTATGATAACTCATATACGTCGAAAATAATAATATTCAATCAGTATCTTTTTAAGCAAAAATTCCAAACTAATGGAAACAATTTCCAATCTATTTAATGCTGCAACAAACTAAATAGACAAATGGCCTCGTTCATTTCGTTGATTCGAGTTTAGAATTCGAGTTTTACTACAGTAAAAAGCTCTCATAAACAATCACATCTAACTTTTTTGTTACAGTAAAAAGTTCTCACATAAAATTACATCTTAACTCGAATTAAAAATTTAAATCAGCAAACTAAACGGGCCGTACAAGTTCTTCAACACCCTTGATTGCTTGCTTGCCGAAAACTGGCTTTCCAATTGAAGCCACGTAAATAAGCAAGAGTCTTTTTGGCCCAGTTTGGTATTGATTTTTGAAGCCCAAAAGTACTTAGAGCGTGAAAACTGATTTCTGAAGAATTTTTGCACAATTCAAAGCTAAAAGCTCAATCTGATGAGACGGTGCTTCTGATTAGCCCTCGTTTGTTGATTCGAATTTAGAATTTGAGTTGAGATATAATTTTATATAAGAGTTTTTTATTATAGTAAAAAAATTAACTTTTTACTGTAGTAAAAAAGTTAAATGTGACTGTTTATAAGAACTTTTTACTATAGCAAAACTCGAATTCTAAACTCGAATCAGCGAAACGAACGATGGCACATTAATGAAACTTTGCAACTACCCATTTTACCCCCGGTGAAATCTAATATTCACCATTTGCCCATTCTTCTTCAGGCTCTCTCCTCTCTCCTTTCTCTCTCTTCTCTCTGCCATCTCTCCGTTCTCTCTCTTCTCCGCACTATGCTCTCTCCGTTCTCTCTTTTCTCTGCGCTCCGTTTGCCGGCCTCTCTCTCTGTTCTCGCGGTCTCCCTGTCTGTGGTGGTTTCCGATCTCCCAAGCGCGAAACGCTTGGTTTGCCGGTATCCCTATTCTTCCGTTCTCCTCCTCCGATTGTCGCCGGTATCTATCGCCTCTGTAAGTACTCGATTAATCTTCATTTCTCTGGTTTTGGTTTTGATTTGTCTGGGAATTTATTATTTTCTGTGATATTTTTGTTAGCTGCTTCACTGAAGGGTGTGGGAAATCGGGACACTTTGGGGTTTCAATTTTTTATCTTCATTTTTGTGCTAATTTATGCTCAATCATCTTGTTTAGAGTGGCCTAGTAATTACGTTTTAAATGAGTTATTGATCAATTTGATTTCATTGTAGCTTTTAGCATTTGATCCGTCATTACATAAGTTAGATAGAATTTCTGAAATGCATATGAACAATGAGCATGTTGTCACTTTCTTTTTCAGCTTTGCAATTATCGAAATCATTGTTATTACTGGGAAACAAAGAAAATTTTGTTATTTGATGTAAATGCTCAAAGGTGTTTATTTTTTATGAACAATGATGTAAATTTTGTTATTTATGAATTCCTAAAACCCGAGCAGAGCTGTTTAATGAACTAAATTCCTTATTCTTCAATCTTTTCTTATTACTGAAAATGAATTATAACCAACCCGAAGCTCATGTTTAGCTATCCGAGCAATCTGGGCACTTCAAAACCAAACTGATTTTTTATGGCTTTTGCTTACTTTATCATATATGAATAAACTCTCCCATTTTAATATTTCAAGTGTGTTGCTTTCTTTGAAATACGCATAGACCTGGCGATTTTGTTTCAAAGTTCCAAAAGTCTGTCTTGTAGACAAGCTTACAAGCATAAGGCATCAAAATCAACTTGCTTTTGTAGACAAACTTACAAGCATAAAACTTACTCAAGCATAAGGAATTGTTTCATGGATGTGTTGAACGCACTGTTGAAGTTTCTTACTATCAACGAGGTAATTTTTATTTTTGAAATGATATTTTTATTTGCTCATTTTTCTTGTGTTATGTGGTAAAATAGTTATTCCTTTTTGATCATGTGTTTTATATTCAAGCAAAATTATGTGTGTTGATTGTTCTTTATTTGTGGTTTTATAATTAATTATCATTTGGCTTGGCCCGTTTCTTAACATGAAATTTCTCAACAAATTTATTATATTTTCTTGTAGATTTTTGAGAAGAACCCCACCAAAATTGATAATTATGGTATTTGACTACGTTATCATAGCTGAACGGGGTACCATAATATGTACAAGGAGTTCTGTGACACCACTCTAAATGGTACCTTAGAGCAAATGTACAACGAAATGGCCTCTCGTTTACGAAGGAAGTGAAAATAGTTATTGCAACAATGACGCTCCATAATTACATTAGGAAGCATGATAAGGGTAATCGACATTTTCAAAGGGTCGAGGATAATCCAGATGTTTTCGTTTATGAAGAGAATCAATCATAGGACAATGTAGAAGAAAATCAAGCTTTACTATCACCGGAAATGGATAAAATACGAGATCAAATTATGGCAAGTTTAATGAACACGACTTAATTCTTTTCATGCATCTACCAATTTTTGAACAATGAATGTACATTTTGTTCAACAAATTGATTACTCACTAATGCTCCTTTAATTGTAACTATATTGTGAATGAAGAAATAAAAAAAAAGAATTAATTATCATAAATTTATTGTTAAAAAACTCAAAATCATAGCATTATGTTTTTTTTTTTTTAAGTTAAACAAGTATTTCTAAATACCAAAAATAATTATATATATTTAAGTTTCATACCATATCTATTTTGGTCATTTTACATACCCACAGCAATTCAACCTCAAAATTTACCAAACGTCATTACATTGATTTTAGAACTAACACAGTTATTATAATTATAGTTTATTAAACACTCAGCTGCTTCTTGTAACAGCTATTTTTTCCTTCAGCACAGTTAAAAGTAATTTTTTTAAAAATTCACAGCACTACCAAATTAAGCCTTTGTTTAACCCGAAAACTCTTTTTTTTTTCTTTTTTCTTTTAATCTTTAAATGCCAACTTTCATTATGCTTTGATTTTTGTGCTTTTTTCCTTTTTTATTTTGTATAAAATTATTATGTCAAATTAATAAACTGTGCATTCTAAAGCTACTCATTTATTTTCCTAAATGGATTGTCGCTTTGAGGGAAAAAAAAAAATAATATATATATATATATAACAAGATTACATATGCAGTAAATATCAACAATTGAAATAATTACATAAGATGAAAAAAATAAGAAAATAAAATGGGAATTATATATATATATATATGAAGAACATAAGAAAAATATAACATTTAGAGGTAAAAATTGTAGATTATGGGGAAGAAAGAAGAACCAAAGAATAAAATAGCAAAATATAAGTATCAAATTTAATTGAATATTTTTGTCAACTAATAATTTTTTCATTCCCCTAAAACTGTGCCCTTGTAAAAATTGTAGCATCAAATTTAATTGAATTATTTTGCTTTTTAATTTTTTATTTAACACAAATAATTAAAAATTATGCTTTCATCCCATCAAGAAAAAAAAAAACAACTTTCGTTTCAAAAAATAAAATCAACGCTATTTATAATTTTTTAACTAAAGCAAAAAATTTATAATTACAAGCATATTTATAATTAGTTAAATCTAATTTCCGCGCACGTCCGCATGGACGTGCTTCCATCCTAGTATTATTTTAAAAAACATGACTTTTCTAACAGAAACCTGCAGACACATTTCCAAATTCATACCAAACAATAAAAGTCCCCTTTTTAACTATCATGTAGAGAAAATTACCGAATTTATTTTTAATAATATATGAGTTTAAATTTTTATTTTTTATTATTAATTAATATTATTTTATTAATATAGTTTTTTAATTAAAAAGTTATTAAATAAGAATAAGAAATAAAATTATATTAAATTATTAGTTTAAAGTTATTTTTAATATTTTATTTCTATTCATAAAATTAAATTTTTAAATTTAAATAACATAATAAATAATTAATAAAAAAAACTACCGAAACAGAAAAATTGGAACAGCAGGACTCCATGTTGGCTAGCCCATGATTTAATTAAATGGCCAAAATTAAGATCAAACATACCTCAAAGAAAAAATAGAGAATTTATTTTTGATAATGCATGAATTTAGACCTTCACGTTTTATTCTCGATAAATACTTTTTTATTTGTATAATTATTTGACTAAAAAAGTTATAAATCAATAGTAAAAGATAAAAATTTTGACTCATATACTTTTAAAAGGTATTTATCAAAATATCTTTTGTCAAATTCATCAAAAGCTATTTAATTTATGTGTTTAAATTAATAATTTTTTATTTTAAAATTTAAAATTAAAATTTATAATAAAAAAATAATGTGATAAAATTAAAATTATGAATTTAAAACGCGAGAACATATGAGTATAGGAAATTGCATATATTTACAAATAAGTTTACTGTGCAATCACAAACCCAAAAAGTTTTCGAGGGAGGAAAAAATAATTGAGAAAATAGACGATAATGACGGCCCAGACGTACCGAAATGGCAAGCATAAAGAGGGGTAATCATGGACAAATCGTAGAGGAACACGTGTCACGGACCCCACAAGCAGATGTGGACGTGTGAAGATCAGGGACGTACGAATAATAAGTGGCATTATTGGACTGACCACGCAGGGATACGACACGATTATTGTAATCAGGGCTAAGATACGGAAAGAAAGAGAGAAAATAAATATTGAAAAAGAAAAAAATCGAAAAATATATGCAATAAAAAGGCTTATTTGGATTTTGGAGTGCGTACTGCGCACCGGCCGTGATAGTGGGCCCGTAGAGAAGAAAAAGTAGCGGACTCGCATTACGAAGCGCCGTAGGTGGAGGGCGGCGGGGTGACTTCACATTGTCGTCACGCGCTATCCGCAGGAGCAATCGCTCTCGATCCACGCGCTTTATTTTTTTGTTTGTTTTCACTTTTTTTATCTTCATTAACCGTTCACTTTTTATCTTCATTAATCGTAGAAAACAATGTCCAACGCTCCAAACCCAGAGGAAGGTTTCTTAAAGTCAACTGTCGTTTTCTTACAAAAGTATTGCCTGATTGCTTATTTATTTATTTGTGTTTTTTATTTAAAGCAAGGCATTGCCTTGCAAAAAGTAAAAATTCAAAGCCAAAAAAAAAAAAAAAAAACGTTCACTCTCATTTATTTATTTTTATCTCATTTATTTATTTATTTTTATCTAAATGTATATTAATATAATACAATACATATTCAAGTATATAGGATTTTTAAAATTAAAAAAATTGAGCGAGGGCTTAAGTGCGGCCTTAAGCCCCCCCACTGAAGAGTAAGTAGCTTCATCCATAGGGAAACTGTGTATATATTTTTATTTCAATATGATTTTGACACTAATTATCATAAATGTGCTATCCGTTGAGAGGTCCAATAAAAAAGAGTAAAAAAAAAGCTAAAAATATTTCTAAGAGTTGACTTCGTTTCTTTTTGAAGGGTTGACTTTGGTATTTTACATTTTACAATCACTTACAAGATTGTCAATCTGTCACTTTGATTAGTTGTGAAAGATTGATAGTTACAATTATTTTTATTACAATTCTTTAAGTTCAATTATTAACTGTTAAATTAATTAACAATTGTTAAGGGTAAATTTCATTACTCATTTTTTTATTATATACGTGCCAATACACGTCTCAAAAAATAAAAAAGTAATCGCTAAATCAATAATTAAAATAAGCCGTGAGCCGTCGACAACTCGTGAATCTTAATGATGTCGGAACGACGAGTCACTTAGTAAATCTTCAATTAAAAGTTAAATGAAAAACTTTCCATAAATAATGTTTTCACTTTTCAGCTATCAAAGCCTATAAATATAATCACCGGCGGACGCACAGACAAGCATGGTTCACACTATTTTTACGGTGCAAATGGCACAATTATATTAAAAATTTAATTTTTATTTTAGAGACGGTTTGATTCGATTTGAAAAATTTTAGAAACGGTTTAAACCAGGAAAGATCATTTTATATACACATTAAAAAGATATGGAATATTAATTTAGGCTTTTTTAATCCTTATACAATGCTAATTTTAATGAATTATATGTAGTATATGATTTTGTTTATTTGATGTATTTGATTTTTGTTTAAACTTTAAATTTGAAATATAAAATTTGAAAACAAGGCTTTCTAAGAAATGGTTCAAAGCGCAACTAAATCAGAACCTATTCTGAAACGGTCTGATTTGAAAATTTTCAAACTATCAAAATGGTCGGATCGGAAAAACTTGTTATTTGGTTCAACGATTTAAATTGTTGATTTATTTTGAGTTGTGATGATTTTAATTGTGGTGTCTTAAATTGTGATTCGAACCGGTATTTAGATATGCAAATAAATTGTAATTTGAATTGAAAATAAAATCCGAACTGTATTTAGATAAAATGTTGAAAATTGTCCTTAGAGTTTTGCAACAAATCTTATAGAATCTCATTATAAATGACATCAAAAAATATGCAATATGGATGTAGATTTGTTCATCTCTTCATTATGATGACATTAAAAAAAATCATCTCAATAGGAATTAAAATGAAGAAACTATGACATTTTTAAGCTTGAAATTGAAAAAAAAAAAAGTAAATTTAGAATTGTTTTCACTGTAAATTTAGGAGGTGGTGAATTCTAAAATCTAAAAGGGTGTTTAATATGCAGTAATCAGTATGAATCATATTATTAAAAAAATGATTGAGGGTAATATAATTCATAAAAAACATACATTATCACATTTGATTACACATATGAATCTTTTTACCGAACCCCAATAATGTTCTTTACTGTTTTTTGGTTGTGCACGTTAATATAATCCTCCTTCATTCACCGTTTTTGGTTGAATATTGTAATTACCATTTTAATAACATTGGATTACTCTTATTAGATTTTTCTAGATGCTTTGCGGAAAAAATACTATTAAATCTATCAGATCTTTATAAATATTATTCAAATAAAAAAATATCAAAAAAGGTATACCTGCAAAAAACTAATTACAAGTAAATTGATCTTTTTCTTTCTTTCTCGCCCCTTTCAATCCCTCTTCGTCCCTATCGATCTCTCCTATCATTTTTCTCTGTGTTTCTCTCTCCTTCCAGATTGATGCCGGATTTAGACTTTGCAATGCGTGGATGGAGCAGTGGTCATGTGGGGCGGACGGAGGCGGTGGCTTCGTGGAAGAGGGGGGAGCAACGGCGGCGCCGCTACAGAAATGTGGATGGAAGTGGCTGCGCGGCTTTCTGACGAGGACACAAGACGACCACCGGTGGAGATGACGATGGGCGTTGATGCAGGGCTCCGGTCATCGGGGGGCAGCGACAACGATCTGCTGTTGAGCTTCGACGGTGGGCTGCAACGGCGCGCCCATAGCTGCGACGGCGACGACGGCAAAATGGGTGGTTGGTGAGGTGACAGGGATGAGCAATGGTCGGAGTCTTGGGTGCTGGGTTTGGATTGTCGTGATGGTTTCATGATTTTTGAACATGTTTTATATGTTTTTAAGCCGTTTTACTGATTAATTTTATATGAAAATTTTTTATTATACATAATTATTTTTTAAAATTTTTTATTATAA